TATGGATTTATCAAGATACCTATGTCATGGCACCCAAAATAGAAGGGGACCCTCTAATTCCTGATAATACTGTGTTGGATGAGATGAATGAGTCTCTCTATAGAAAAAATAAAATGTTATAGGAAAATCGGGTCCCCTTGGCGAATACCTCTAATAGGCTTAAAGGTCCTAGTTTATTTCAATTAATTTCTAGAGAAAGGGAAGTAATGTAGTAATTAATAAGATTAATCAGATTAGGGTTAAGGCAACCCTACCTTAAGTGTCAATGATAAAATTCCACCTAAGCTTGTCATGGGCTTTCTCTAAATCAAGTTTGACAATAATGTAACAATTTCTGCCCTTAAGGTTATGAAAGTAGTGAATAATTTCCTAGAGAATCAGGGCATTATCAATTCCATGTCTGCCATGAACAAAACTCATTAGTTGGCAGAAATAAGATGGGGCAAGGATTCCCTTAACCTATTAGATATGATTTTAGTTACAATCTTATAACTAACATTGCATAGACAGATAGGTATGAACTCTTTGATGGACTCAGGGTTATTAGTTTTGGGAATTAGGGTGATACAGGTCTCATTAACATCCCTAATTTTCCTAGGTCCTGAAAAATAGCTACAACAAAATTATAAACATGTTGACCCAAAATGTGCCATTAGTTTTTAAAAAATAGGGCATGAAGCTCATTAGGTCCTGGAGACTTAAAAATTGCCAATGCTGAACAGTGCATACCTGACTTTTTCTATAGAGATATCTAGAGAGAGAAATAGTTGCACAGACTTTGATAAAAGGGGAAACGAGGTGAGGGTATCCAGTTTGAAACCCTGAGGATTAGGATCAGAGTATCAAAATAATTAACAACCAAAGATTCTAGCCCAGAAGGATCATAGACCTACTTCTGATTATCATCTTTAAGGGCTTCAATCCTATTTTTAGTCCTTCTACCTTTGGTAGCTCTATGAAAAAATCTAGTATTCCTATCCCCTAGAGACATCCAAGTAGCCCTATAATGTTGGTACCAAAAAGCTTCCTCTTGATCAAGAATGAGTTGATAATCCTTCCAAAGAGTTTTTATTAAATCAATAAGGAAAGGATTAAAACTAGAACCCAATTTCCTAGAAATACCTTCAATTCTATAGAGCAGGCATTTTTTGCTTATGGAAAATGTCCAAAAATATATTTGCTCTAGTTAGAGATGTTCACTCTAAAATTAGCTACATTGTCAGCCCAAGAGTTAGACAACAACTAGAAATTCTTCACCTGGATAGGGAAGTCAAGGTGGGATAGCCAAGGATTTAGGAATTTGAATCCTCTATTATTTTGAGTGTGAGACTAAGTATCTCTAATTTTAACCCAAAGGCCAAAGTGATCAGATGTTAGGAGGGGAACATGGATTACAAAACTATTGGGAAAGGATAGATGCTAAGATTCATTTGAAACAACTCTGTCCAACCTTTCTTTAGGGTTTCTCTTATGCCAAGTGAAAGGGTTACCCTTGAAACCTAGATCAAAAAGGCCACACTGAAAGAGGCAATCAGCAAAACTAGCTAGGGTCCTAGGATTATGGAGTTACCCCCTCCCCTCACTTTCTCAGAATTGAAGAGAATAGAGTTAAAATTACCAGCCAAACTCCAAGGATAACTAACAAAGGAACTAAACTCTAACAATTCCTTCCAACAACCATCCTTGAGGTGTTCTAAGGGAATGACATACATAGAGGATAAAATCCAATTTGCATGACTAGTGATTTTAATTTTAAGATGGATAAAAAACTTAGATTTAGGTAGAGAGGCAAAGACTCGATTACTATTCCAAACACGCCAGATGCCACTAGAGTAGCCCATTGCATCCATTATTTCATAATTATCTAGGTCAATTTTGGTTATAATATTCTAAGCTTTATTAGATCATTTATAAGTCTATAAAAAGATCTACCCTCAGTCCCATTGCAATTCTAAAACAAATAGTTCATGAAAATCATGGAGAGGAGTATTGAATAGCATCTTCAACATGATAGGATACAGTCTGAACAGAAAGCTTACAAGTAGCAGAGGCACTGATATTTTAGTCAAAGGTATCAACATCCATTGGAAGGCCTTGATCAGGGGGTTTGTCAACATCAGAGTCCTGAGAGGCACTGATATTTTGGTCAAAGATAACAATATTCATTGGAGGGCCTTGGTTAGGGGGTTTGTCAACATCAAAGTTCTAAAATTTCTAAGAGTTATTAATGTTCATTCCTAACTAATCTTGGATAGACCTACTACCTAACAAGTTATTAGTTATTTCTTTATTCATCCTATGCATAATGAAAAAAATTTCCTTATAATTATGATTTTTTTGGTTTGGGATGATAGGCTCAGTATATTCCTCATTCACCATCCTATGCTGGCTAGGCCCTTTTTTCATTCTTGTTACTATACTTAGTTTTATACATAAGTTTGTTTTTTAGGATTTTCCTTGGAGGGTTGCCCTCATTTTTGTTATTTTTAGTGGCTTTTCATAAGCCTTTTATTCTCCAAATCATTCTTATTTTGATTTCCTAAAAGAACTTCATAAGCTCTTTACTCTCCTTATCATTCTTAGTTGAATTTTCTAAAAGAACCTCAAGTTCAGCTGATATTTCTTGAACTAAAATATATTATTTAAACATACTCTTAAGTTGTGTTTGGATTATGTAATTACAACTTTTAAAAAATTTAAAATTTAAAAATTCTAAATTATATAATTGAAATTTCTATTATTTAAAATATTTATTTAGATAGAATAATTATTTTTTTTTCATTTCAAATATTTTTGTTTGAATAAAGTAATTAAAATACTTATATTTTTTAAAAAAATTACCACAATATTTGACAAAATTAATTACAAAAATGAAATTTGAATCGTTAAATTAATCGTAAATAAATAAAAATATGAATAAAACATAATAATTTTTTTAAAATTTTTACTTCTTTTAGTATTTAAAATTTTTTAATTTAAATTTATTAAAAATATCTCTTAAAATTATTTAAAATTTAAATTCTTAAAATTTAATATTGAAATAAAAAATTTCAATTTATAAATTCATATGAAAAAAATTATATATTTTTTTAAAATTAAAATTATTCATTCAAAATATCTCTTTCAAACATATTATTAGTCTTTAAAGATAAAAGCAAAGATAAATTAAGTGAAGACAAAATTTAAATAAAATAATACAGTATTTTTAACAATATTATTCTTTAACTAAAATTAAAATTAAATTAAATAAAACTGTCATGACAATAAAGTCCTTTTTTAAAAATATTCAACAGAGTTTCATTCATTGAACTTAAAATTTATTATCACAACGCCAACTAATTCTAGGGATGGTAATGGGTAAGGTATTATAGTATCCATCTCCATACCCGCGTTTTAAAAAAAATACCCGTATCCAGCGCCATACCCACGTAGATATGAATATTAATCTCCGTACCTGTACGCTTTGGGTACTCGCATACCCATCATGTACCCATTATCCGCACTTGTTTGAGAAAAAAATATTTATAAAGAAAAATATGTTTATATAACTTCACATAAGTAGCATAATAATACAAAAATTTAATATGTAGTTGCCGAATAAGGTACAAACATAGATAAAAAATAAATATTCAAAGATCATAAATGTTAAATGCATCTTAATATAATAATTTTCTAAACTAAAAATCTTAGAAACAATAAGCGAAACTAAACACACAAGTTATTTGTCAATGATAACCCTATCTTGTGTGAGATTTGATCGATTGACAATGTCAAAGCGACAACGAAATAAATCTGCATAATAGTTGTCCCTCCGTGTGGGATCACTTAGTGACCTCTTGTGACAACATTGACAACTAACTCTAATAAATAACGTTTCATAGTTGTTAGGTTTTAATGAGACAAACATTGAGAATGAGAATAGAATTAGAGTAGAGAAGTTCAATACTAACAACAGAAAGTAAATATATAAAATATTTTTTTTAACTTTTGAATTTGAAATTGTAAGAAAAATAATAGATTTAATTAAAATAATATATATATATATATATATATATATTAATACTAGTATTTTTAACTCATATACTATACAAAAATATTTTATAAAAAATACTAATTTTTGAAAAATTATTTTAATGAATTAAATATTTATAATGTATATAAATTTTAAAAGAAAGAATTTAAAAAAAAGATAAATGGTCACAATAAAATTTTATAATAAAGAAATATACGTGTATATTAAAAAATTATACTTTTTTATCTGAAAAATTAACAATAAAAATTACCAATAATTTTTTATATTTATATCTTTTCAAAAACTTATTTGAACATTAATAAATAGTAAGAATAATATTATTTAGATTCAATAGATTATAGTTGTGTTTGTAATACATATGTTACAGAGAAAAATATTATTTTAAATTAAAATATAAAAAATAAAATTTAAATATTATTAATAAATAATAAGTTTATGGTAATAGTAGGTGATTATAAAATTTATAAAATATTTATAATATATTTATTGTTTATCATTCACTTTATGATTTAAACATCAATATAATTTTATTAACAAAAATATTTGTGTGAAAAATATTTTATGTGTGTCATATATAAATAATATTTTAAAAAAAGTCAATCTCATATTAACTATTTAATAATTAAATTGTATTAGCCTAATTAAATGATATAAAATAGTAAATAAATTTTTCTATTAAAAATATAAACTAAAATAATTTTTTTAATTTACTTTATTATTAAATATATTTTTATATTAATCTTATATAACTTCACATAAGTAATATAATAATATAAAAATTTAATGCATAATTATAAAATAAAGTTCAAGTATATATATATATATATGCGAATATGGAGTATAGTGGGTACTTAGATACCCATACCTACACCCATCTTCATTAAAATTTGTAAATTTTTACCCATACTCATATAGCAGATAAATATCCTACCTATTATAAATTTTGTAAGTGAGCATAGAGTATTTTAGCTATTGTCATTCCTAACTAATTCGTTCACGCTTAAACGATAAGCCAAAACAACTCTTCTAATTTATTCACTGTATAAGGTGGTAAATTTTGGGACAGTTTACTAAATATATTCCTAGATTTTTTTTAAATTTTTTTTTAGAATATGGTAATTCTTTACCGAAGGGCAAGAACCGATTTCTTTCTCACTTTCTCCGATCGAACGTTTTTCTGAGAAACCCTAATGTCTTTTCTTGAAGAATTTCAAGCCAGTAATTTATTACCTTCCCTCTCTCTCTGTCAATTTCTCTTTCAGTAATCGCAAATTTAGGACTTTTGGGGTTCAATTAGGTATTTGTGCTTTCAGTTTCGCAATAACGTTTAACTTCGCTTCTTCTTTTTTTTTTTTTACCTGCAGATTTGGATTCACTACCCGTTATTCTTCAGAAGAAGTATGCGTTGTTGCGAGATCTAGATAAGAGCTTACATGGTAATTGAAATTGTATAATTTAATTTTGTTATTTATTTTTGCTCCTTGTATCAATGAAAACATTGATTATTAATAGCCTCTATCTTTTTTATATCGGGGGCTAGGGTATATTTGGATAATCAGCTAAATTAAGCACTTATTAAATATGCTCCAATCGCACGAGAGCTTATGACATAAATTTGATTACGAAAATTATTGGAATAAGCTAAAACAAGTTTACTTTGATAATTTATGGCAAGAAACGAATAAAAAAAAGTTAAAAAGTGCTTTCGAGAGTTATAAGCTATTTCTATAAGCTCTTCCAACTGCTCCTCAGTGAGTCTAATAAATTTTTACTGGCTTAATTGTCATTCTCTAGAGCAGTTTGCTGAATGGGATTTTCTCTTGGAATATGTGTCTATTGTGATTCAGTGATATGATAATTGTTGAACTTTCAACGGAATTTTATTGTCCTTTGGATGTGGGTGTTTTCTGCCAAGGTTTCTGGGTTTCAGAAAACTGTGGCTAGAAATGATTGTCCGTTACAGTTGTGCTGCTATAGCATGCAAAATGCAGAGTTGCAGCCATGATGGCTGCTACAAAAATTGCTGTATCAGGATTGCTCAATGATGTGTCTGTACACTGTTAAACATTGGCTAGGCTGGATTTTTTAATATCTCTAATAGTAACTTCGATACATCTTGATAAGTTTGTGACCAAAATTTGTTAGACCTTATTTTTGGTTTATTTGATGATCATGTCCTGTCAGTGTTCTTTTCATTTATATTGTATATGTTGCTTATCCATATAAAAGGTTTCGACAAGTTTGACGTCGGTTGCCAAAAGCCTAATACCACCCTCCTCCTTTACTTGGGCTTGGGACCAGCTATGGGGCCATAGGCCGAGTTTATGCTGCTTATGATTACCCATAAATGTGATTAGATATTAGATATTAAATTCAAGGCACAGTGCATAATTTTTTTATTTTTGTGATATCTTCAATGCCTATTCTTGTATTGCAAAAGGAAAAAGAAAAAGGTTTTAGTTGTGAATGTCTGTTTCCTTGTATTATATCACATCTTGAGTCTTGTTTGAGATTTCCATGCAACATAAGCATCACGATTTGTATGAGCAGATATTCAAAGGCAAAATGAACAGCGCTGTGAACAAGAAATTGAAGATATTAAGCGAGGAGTTAGGTCTGGAAACATCACACCTAATACTTCAGTTATTAGATTCTCTGATGAAGCGCTTGATGAGCAAAAGCATAGCATCAGGATTGCTGATGAAAAAGTTGCCTTGGCTGTCCAGGCGTATGATTTGGTAATTGGTAGTCAACATATCTCATGCATTTTTGAGTCTTCTTTTGATGCTTGGCTTTAAATAGATCTGCTGAAATTGATATTGTGATTTTTATCTAATACATACTGTGATATAGCTGGATCAAGGATCCAATTTCCACTGATCTGCTATTTGTACCTTGCTTCTTCACTATTTTTTACTTTGTGTTGTCAATGTTTTTCTTTACACTCAGGAGTTCACTGCTAATGTAATAGTTGTACAAACATGATTTACTATAATTTTAATGACTTATTTAGTTATTTTCAATTTGTTCCACACAATTTGACTTAAAATATTGAAAGCTGGATGAGGGGTTGTATATGCAAGTGTTAATGTTTGGTAAGATAAATTCGGTTGAGTAATAGATAGAGTATATTGGCATAGATTTTGGATAAAGTTAATGCAAACAGGTTTCTTGCTTTGTTTTAGTAATTATATATTCATGATTTTTTGCAGGTAGATACACACATACAACAACTTGATCAGTATCTGAAAAAGTTTGATGAGGAGCTTCGGCGTGGTATTGTACTTTCTACCTATTTGTGACACTCCTAATCTGTAAATGTAATTAATAGTCTTCTGAAAGGGTTGAAGTATATTGTTTTTGACAAAAAGAACATGCTACAATAACTGGAATGCCTGCTTCAGGTCCTGATGGTAATACAAAATCTGGAAGGGGTAATGAAAGTGGAACTGGTAGAGGAGGGCGAAAAAAGTATGTAACTCTTCTAGAAATATTTTTGATTGATTTTTTGATAGCTTATCACATCTGTGATGCTTATCGATTATGCTTTCCATTGTTGCATTCTCGCATTGCCTAAATAGTAATACTGATTCTTGCCAACATTTATGCTACTCTGCGATATCCAATATGATTGACATGTGGGATTTATCTACAAAATAGACTAGTTATTTGAAAATAAGGAAGCCAAGGTTAATAAGCCTTTTGATGTAGAAAAATTGAGAAGTTCAGGAAATTCTTTCCCATTATCTTAAAATAGAGAACAGATTTGAATATTTCAGACTAGTGAATGAATAGACAGCTGTCAATAGGTTGCAGAAAGAAATTAACATTATTCTACCACTGTCTCACTTTTATGTACCCACTTCACTTAACATGTTTCTGGTAACTGTGGAGACCTATATAATTTGACATTTGACATACTTGGTTGGTGCTTTGTTGTTTTGTACTTGTACGTTGTTGTCTGGATACCTTACTGTCGAGTTACAGTCATATCAGTCTTATGCGTTGTTTGGTTGAGAAGTGAAATAGAAAGAAATGAAATAGTAAGGATTGAAATAGGAAGGATGTAAATAAAAAGGAAAGAGTAGAAATGGTGTATTGCTAGGATAAAGAGAAATTGAAAGGAAGTATCACTTCCCTCCGCATGTTTGGATGAGCAGTACAAAAAATATTTTCAATAATAAGTAAAAATAAATAATTTTAATTTAAAAATATAAACTTTTATTATAAATTTTTATCTTAATATAAAATTATTTATTTATTTTAAATTATTTTTTAGTTATAAGATTTTTTATTTTTTAAACAATTAAATTAAAAAAATTGCAGCCCTTCGCCAGCTGCATTTCACGTCTTACAAGCCATTTCAATGTGAAATCCACTGAAATAAAAACTTTTCAACACTATTTCATTGTAAACAAATGAAGGAAATGTGCAGAATTGACGAATTTCATCCTTGCTATTTCGATCACAGTAAACACAGCATTAGTATCTTCATATGTTGGTAAACCTCATTGACTTAAATAGTCCCAATTCTTTAAGGATGTGAAAGTATGAAACACTAGATCCTCAAACACTACTATCAGGCACAAAATCCCATAAGTGGAATATTTGGAGGCCAAATCTTGTTTTCAAAATATTTGCCATAATGAAAAAACTTTGAATCATTACATCTGATGTAGTAAAACATCAGGGTTTAGTTTTATCATTGCATCTAACTACCCTTAATAATGGTATCAGATTGCATATTTGTCTTAAAACATTATCCTTGACACAATTAATATTTTAAGTTTATGAAGTGAGAAAGTAATTTTTATTCATAACTTTAGCTTTCTATTTCTTCTTTCTCATGTTCTTGTTGTCCCATGATGGATACATTTATTCTTCATGTGTGCTAAAATATAACATTAGAAAGCAATAACTGAAATAATAAACTGCAATCTTATGCATATTTTGAATTAACTACAGAACACGCCAAACAGCAGTTGTGGCAGCAGCAGCAGCAGCCGCCACAGAAGCTCAAACTACATCTGCAAATCCAACTGGCATGGATTTAGATTTACCAGTTGATCCAAATGAACCCACATACTGCTTTTGTAACCAAGTTAGCTATGGAGAGATGGTTGCCTGTGATAACCCTGATGTATGTATTTGTCTTTTCTTTCATATATTTATGTCCATTTTATCTACATTCTTTTATATCTCCATAATCTCTTCAAATTTACAGTGCAAAATAGAGTGGTTTCATTTTGGTTGTGTTGGTTTGAAAGAACAACCAAAAGGAAAATGGTACTGTTCAAATTGCGCAGCAACAAGAAATCGCCGAAGAGGCAAATGAGGCTGACCGAAGAATAAGAATAATGTTAAAATGACAATGTATATATATTTTAAATATTTCTAGTAGGGTAGTTATTTTGTTTGATGTGTCAGGGCATTGAAACTTAGCTGTTATTGTTCGGGAAATTTTGAAATTACAAATTTCCAATAACTTAGTGTTTGTTTGCACATTCAATTGGCTTTGCACATGTTTGCACAATTACTATGACCCTTTGGTCTATGGTACTTCTGGAAGCCATCGAATGGTTTTCTTCTTTCATTGTAGATCAGGCTTGAAAAAAAACGAAATTTCTTGTGTATTTGTAGCGGAGAATGTTTCTTCCACCCTGATTATACAATTATTACACAGCAGTTGAATTATGGCATTTGAAAATGTAATTAAATGTTTTTATTGTTTGTGTAGACATTGGGTATCCTCGAGTGAAATGAGTAACGGGAATAACGTGTAAAAAGAAGTTTGATCAGTTGCAGAATGTTTGTTAATTTAAAGCATTCTCAAAGATCCAAGATTCTTTCTTTGATTGTATGCTATTTGAATATGACGGCATAGGATTTTGAAATTCGAAAAAGTATTATGGAGAAGCGTCTGTTACACTTTTAAGGATTCCTTTTCAATTTTCACTGCTGTTTTTTTAGCTTTAGATAGAAACAGTTTAGGTGACATTTGGCCTGTTTTTTTATTCAGTTGATATCTTTTTATTTATAACTAAAAAAACATATTTAGGCAAAGGTTTTGGTGGATTTGTTGTAAATGTTAATCAGACTAAGATCATAACAATATCTTGTGTGTGATCTAATTTGTACCTAGTTTGGCTGATTTTGCACAATTTGGTACAGCGCCTCAATTTGTGGGCAGCTTTCCAAGCAAGCAGGTAGTTTGCATTTCAAGTGATCTTAATTTTGTCAAATTAATTTTCATTGCAATTGAATTTGAAGTTGAGTAATTAATGTTTGAAATTTTTCATCTCAAAAAAAATTTAAAAGTAAAAATGAATATTAAACTTTTAAACTAACGAAGTTTTCTTGAACTCTAGAGATTACAGAGATTTCAAAGTGAAAGTCGGGGTTTGTAAGCTTGTGAAACACACTTTTTCCTGTTGCTTTTCTACCATATATATCATCTTTATTTCTCAGCGGATTCTTGAATCTCTTATTAAAGTGCCAGTCATGGCTTCGTGTTCTTTTAATACTGCTTCCCTTTGAGCTTTAGCTTCTCTTCCAATCCATTGTTTCGCTTTCCTTTTATAGTATGCATTATACCTAAAATTCCCTTGAAGCGACATCTCCTTTTCTCTCCAAGATTGGTTTTATTTGTCTCTTCATTTCGAAGATTGTTCCTCCTTGAGTCCAATTAGATGGGGGTGTCGCTAGCTACCTTTATTTATTAGTAATCAAGGTCGCTGTCTTAGAACTTGCTCTTCCACAATCTGCCGGATGCTATTTTGTTTCTCTGGGCATCCTTTATTCCCTAGCCTCATGGGTCCCTTTTCCCATTCCTTTTTTTTACTCTTAGGTTCCTGTATCTTCTTTTTCTATTTTGCCCTTGCTGCATTATTCATTTCTCAACAATTGCCCCGCTGTAATTAGCCATAGGAGAGCATGGCCAAGTGCACTAACCCGTTCTGCTTCTACAATCAGAAACGCACCTTTGGTCTTTGTAATCCTCAGTTCCCATTCAATTAATTCATTAACTGCATTTAGTTTACAAAATTCATTCTGGACTGCCCTTCTCTCATTATTACTTGAAGGGACTCTAGGTTTTTTAAAATTTCCTTTCTCATTCTCCCTTTTCGTCTTCTCTTACCCATGGTCTATACCAAGACTGTTAAGGCTACCCATATCACCGTACCCTCCAATTCTCCCAGGGATTCTGTCACTACCCTTGCCCTTGAACCCCTTTCTCGTGGCATCTCATATGGCATTTGGACGGCTCTTCCTTCGCCTTTACCCTAAGGAAAGTGGCAATTGAAAGCTTTTGGATAACATCCCTTTTCCTTTCTGCCTTTATTTGAAATATGTTCTTGGAGGCGTTCTCGACGCATGCAATAGTCCTATAGCGGCGGGGCTGTTACCTGGGGTTGTTCACCTTGCCATACTATTGTTGAGTCTCCTTCCCCAGAGTTAGCTCCTTCGTTACACTCCTGCCTAACCCACGAATCTTATCCTCGCTTTCCCCTATCCTCCGTAACATGACAGCGAGCCACCGACGGGTGGTAGCAATGGGTAGAACATGTTTTCGAGGTGGACTAAACCTTCGCAGGCATTTTGGACCATGCGGGAGTGGCACATGCCGTTAAGCTTTCTACTGATATTGTCGTGACTCATACTACAGAGAACTTATTCTTTATGGCTGAACACTGGTGTACCTCCACTCATGCCTTTGTTTCCGCTTGGCGTGAGTTTGCCCCAACCTTAGAGGATGTTGCCATACTGTTCCGCCTTCCCATTTTTGGTGATACAGACGTCTCTTCTTTACATTTTCCCACTCACATTATAGCGCAAGCCTTGTCCTTGAAGAAGGCTATTGTGGAAAGTGCTCGCTGGTCTTGGAGCAGCCCCCAACGTAAAGGTTCGATGAAGTATACTTTCGCAACTTGGATTCACTATTTTTTCGGCAGCTTTGACCATGGCGCGTTCATAACCAGTCCCCCCTCCCTTTGGATTTAAGGCGTGCTGCTTTTCTTGCCTTCTGGCTTAGCCACTATGTCTTTCCTGGACCGCCTTGGGAATCTGTGAGTTCTAACGTCTTTGTTTTTGCTTGTTTGCTGGCAAAAGGGTGTCGGCTTCCCTCGTCTTCACTATATTTGGGCGGCCTTTATGGGTGCTTGGATTAGATATCCGAACATGTGTTTGTCCTTTGGTCATTTTTTCCTTTACAGCTTTTTTGATGTGGCTTTCCTCCAACTTTTCTTTTTTGAATGCTTCCCTGAGTACGCCCTGCCCCGTAGTTTTGCGCACCCTTCAAGCATATCGACCCTGCCTTGGTCCCTTGTTAATGTCCTCATCCAATTCTACCACTCAAGCACTTTGCCCTTAGTTTTGTATAAGTTCCAGTCCTTTGTCATATGTCCTTATATTCAGCCTTTGCCTGGCATCGAGGTGTTAGACATTTATGATGAAGCTTGCTCAACTTTGCACAGGACTTTCACCTCAAATGACGTTTACAATTTTTGGGATGTATGTTTGTCTCTTGGCTACCTTCCAGGCTTATTAGATATTGATTCATATGGCCCTCATGGTGGCGCTTTATGGCCTTTTGAGTATCACCTTGATCATGTCATTCATCAAGTTGGTTGGGATTAGACCCCTTGCCCGCTTTTGTTAGACGTTGTTGACTTGTGTTCCTGCATGCAGTGCGTTTTGCCAGGCGATTTCACGTCGCTCCCTTATTTCAATCGCTCTTTAGTTACATCCCTTAAGTGTAATGGCAGTTTTTTATACACCTGGTCTACCTTTCAATACGCAGTTTTGGAACATATACGTGTTTTTAAGCAACAAAAGGATACCCAATCATTTCCATCAGATTCTATTGTATTTCGTGATCCCTTATGTAACATATTTTATGTTTACATTTAATATTTTATTTTGATTAATAAACATTTTTCATATGCTTTATTTTTATAATTTTTATTATCTTTTATTTATTTGAATAAATTGGGTCTATTACAAATAAATATTTTTATTTCAAATTTTCGGTTATTCTGACATCTGACTACTCTTTTGGGCATAACTTTTTCTACGGATATCATTTTTCATTGATTCCAGTTGCATTGGATTCTACACATCCAGGGCTTCAAAATGCATATATGGATAATTGAATTTAGAGTTATTTTTTATTTTTTTTTATTTTTTGAAGTTGAGACAAATTTGCTGAATATTATTGTGGGATTGCATTTGGACTCTTGTTATTTAATAATTATATTTGAACTTTTAGATATTATTGAGGCTCGCATTTTGGCCACTTAATTTACCCTAATCAGAACCTATAAATAAACTAATAAAGTTCTGAATTAGGGGGAGGATTAGACACTTTGAGCTTTTGAGATTAGGCCAAAATCAGAATCCTTGTTTTAACTTTCTCTCGAACTCTCTTGTTCTTTTCTCATTCTTGCGCTAATTGCTCCGAGTTTGTTCTCTTTTTTCTCTAATTTCAGAATTGTTTATTGCGATCATGATTGACCTTTCTGTTGTTAGATTTCAAATTATGACTCAATTGATGTTTTAATTTGATAATTAATGCAAATTAGGTTAAATTATTATTTGATTTAATTTGTAACTCTATTTAATTAGGTTATTTGATTGAATTAATAATTGAATTGAGTGATTGTTCAAATGTGCATTTAAATCTTTAGATACTGTGATAGTCGAAGTTACACGCAATTGATATTCTATGGATTGATATTTCTTAATTTATTTTTTTACTTACTTTAATTCTGTTTGTAATTTAATTTGATTAATTGCAATTTTCAAAACCCTATAAACCTTATTTGCATTTTTTAAAAGAAAACCTCAAATTGAATTTGACTGAAAATGTGTTTCCGTGAATCGACTTAGGTTTGGCTCTATACTACAAAATTTTTACAAAACTTAGTTATTTTGATAACGATTAAGCAATCTTCTATCAACCCTTACTATATGACTTCATTTCCAAGTGTTCAACCTAGTAAGCTCTTCCCCTTTGCTGTTTACCTTATGCCATTTTCTTATCATCTTCTTCTTTTGCAACGTGGTGCGATATTTTATTTGATTCATCTCTTGCTTATGTAGTAACTGTTAGTGGTCTAACAACTCGCAAACGTAAACCTACTCGCTCACTTGAAGTGCAATCAGATTCTTTGCTCAGGAGCGACAAACTTGAAATTAACCAAAATAAGCATGCTTTAAGTGCTTTTTTCGCTGCAAAGCACTCTTCTTGTGCTCGCGAGACGTCTTTTGTTACTTTGAGCGCACTGGGTGGTTTGATGCATCGCACACCTCTTCAAAATCTTGGCGTGCCTTCTTCTGCAGGCCTCCCTCCTTCTAGCAAAGAACCTTTGATTATTCCTGCTTGTCCTTATACTAGGCTGCATTCTTCCTCTAGGCCATCTACCCGCGCTCTCCTGTCTTGGTGGATTTAACAGCCGTTGAACCCATGGTTTCTGATGGTTCTTTATCTGATTCTATGGTTGAAATGAATGCGCCCGTCTTCGGTGATGATGTTGTTTTTAGTGATGAGATACTGACGGTGCGCTAGGTGTGGATGGCAAGAGCAGCTCTGATGATGAAGAGAGAAATTCTCCTGATGTTGCAGAACAAGAGGCTAAGGGTGCTTAGCACTCTAACTCGTCTTCC